ATTGAAAAGTTCTTCACAAACCACCTATAATAACCAACAAGCCCCAAGAAACTCTGAACTTCCGACATATTTTTTGGGGGTTACCAATCCACTATATCTTGAATCTTTTTTGGATCTACTCTTATGCCTTCTGCAAAGACTATATGGAAAACGAAAGCAACCTTAGCTAACCATAATACATACATGGATAATTTGGCATACAACTTCTCTCGAAGAGTCTGAAGAACCACCCGAAGATGAGCATCATGCTCCTCTCTTGACTTGGAATACACCAAAATATCATCGATAAATACCACCACGAATTGATCCAAGTAAGGTTGGAATACTCGGTTCATCAAGTCCATAAATACTGTAGGAGCATTAGTCAAACCGAATGACATTACCACAAATTCGTAATGTTCATACCGCCTCAGGTCTATCTTAGAGAACACTGCTGCACCTTTCAATTGATCAAATAGATCATAAATCCTTAGAAGATGATACTTATTCTTTATCGCTACTTTATTTAACTGATGGTAGTCGATTCAAAGTCGCATAGACCCGTCTTTCTTTTTCACAAAAAGCACAGGTGCTCCCCATAGAGAAACATTGGGTCTGATAAATCCTTTATCAAATAGCTCTTGCAATTGGGATTTTAATTCTCTTAACTCTGTTGGAGCCATTCAATATGGAGCCATAGAAACAGGTTCGGTACCCGGGTAAACCTCAATATGGAATTCCAACTCGCGATATGGAGGTAATCTCGGTAACTCTTTCGGAAAAAACATCCGAAAACTCCCTAACTGTTGGAACATCAACTAGTCTCACTTCTAAAATTCGAGTGTCTGCCATGTTGGCCAGAAAAGCTATACATCCTTCCGACATTATTTTCCTTGCATTTATGGTTGATATCACGTTGAATGGTGATTTCACTTTTTCACCAATCACTATAATTTCTGAGCCTTCCGCATCCTTCAAAAATAATCTCTTATTGCGACAATCAACCCATCCATGATGTGGAGACAACCAATCCATGCCCAAAATAACTTAAAATCATCGAAAGGTAATTCCATTAAGTGTGCAGGGAACACAACCCCTTGAATCTTTATCGGGCATTTTCTACATACCCGGGTTACTCTTGCACTGTGCCCCATAGGGTTTACTGATATCATCTCACTAAAAATTGATTCTAAAGGAATTCCTTTAGCTCTAACCAACTTTGAACTAATATAAAAGTGTGTAGAACCAGGGTCAACCAAAACAAATATAGGTTCATCAAAAAGATGGAATGTACATGTTAGGATCTCGGGTCATCCCAATCCTCATTAGTCTTAATATTGTAAATTCTGGCTACTCCTTGAGTCTATTGTCACGGCAATGACTCTGATTATCCTCTGGATCTACCTCTGCCTCTGGTTATATTAGAAGTTGCCACCGATCTCTCAGATTGCACTGAATTATCCCTGGATTTTTAGGACAGTTTCGGGCATAGTGATCAGTTTCACCACACTGGAAACAAAAGCTCCACTGAGAAATCTATACACTTCACGGTGAAATTTGCAACATGTCTGACATGGAGTAGTTCTCTCTCCATATGCTCTACCTGAGCTAGCAGCAAAAGATTGTGATTGTTTAGTTTTCCGTTAAGGTTCAGTAGAACCATCTCAATCAGTATATCAAGAACTCGAGCCCTTGCATCCCTTAGGATGATGGGAAGTTGAAGACGTTCCAACTCTTTTTCCCATCTGCATACTCTATTCCGCTGCTAGAGTCTCCTCTTGAGCTCTTTCAATAGCCTTAGCTCGGTTTATAACTTCTTGCAAGCTAGACAAGTTTAAAGTCAACATCATCTCTTTCAACTTTGGCCTCAAACCCTCAATGAACCAATCACGTCGAGCTTTACTATTGGGAACTACCTCAGTAGCAAAACAGATGAGCTTGTTGTACTCATCCTCGTACTCATGTACTACTCAATTACCTTGTTTCAAATTAAGGAACTTCAGTAGCATTGCCCGCCTAAACTGCTCACCAATGTACTTGTTCTTAAATTCTTCCTTAAAGAACTCCTAGGTCACTTGCTCCGGAACTTAGGTTGATCCTCGAAGTAAAGATACAACTCCACCCAAATTTTCAGAATCCGAGCAGTGAAGACTTTCAAGCATTACTATAACATCTTTTAGCCATAAATCAGCCTCTATAGGACCTTCATCCTCTTCTCCCCGAAACTCAGGAGCTCCCAAACTTTTTAGCTCTTTTGGGATCAACATTCACGATGCTAGAAGTGCAATAGGAGGCGGAGGAGGTTGGAACCGAGTCAAAATGGCATCGAGAGCTTGCATAAAAGCTCCAAACTCTTGCACGGGCATACCCTGTTGTGCCGGTGCGCTAGTATTCTCGGATGGGATCGAATGCTCACTATTAGCCTAATAGTTTTTGCTACCCAATCCTTCTTTAATTTCTTGTTCAGCCGATCTTTGCGAGTTTAAAGATTCCGACATCTAATAGGACATGCATAATAATAACACTCAAGTTAGTAAGGAGTGACATCAATCACACTCTAATGGCACCATATCAGTAACCTTGACAATCTTAGTGGCATGTAAATCTTTTTTAAAGTAAAATAAACCCGGTTTCAGCCGAGAATCGACTAAACCTGTAGCTCTAATAGTAATAAATGTAACACTTGTTTTTTTGGATACGTTTCCGTACACAAGTCATAGGTGTCACATAACTTTTAAAAACATTTTCTTATTTGTAAACCTATAAAATTTTGTTTCAAAAATAAAATATTTTTAATATCATAATAATAAAACTTTCGTTGTAACATATTAAAAAAATAACAACTTTAATACGTTCTAGAGCATTTTCTTAAGTCCATATACATGGCACTTAGTTATCAAAATAGGTATAAATGTCCTACAGTTACTGATGAGACAACCTTTGATTGATGATGTCCACTGCACTCCTTACTCCGTTAGTCTTTGCTATTTCCTATATGTGAAATCAACACGTGTTAAGTATTTACTTAGTGAGACATAACAATACAAAATGAATTATACTTAAATATATAAGCATATCACAATTTATCAAAGTATGAATGAACATTATATAATTCATATGAATACATCAAATTGGCTTGGCGAATAAATCTTCATTCAAATAACATGATAACTATCTTTAGTATGCCCAACATACCTATCAATCAGTATTTTCTAATTTATCCTTTATTTTTTCCTATGTATGTCAAATGAGAATGTAAGGTACATGCATTTCACCGAAGTGCCGAAATAGAAATTCACAAAACTTATTATGAATTTCATGTATTGTGCACATAGTGCCGAAATGATCACTCATAAACACATTATGAATACCATGGGTTGTACATTTAGTGCCGAAAATGCGTCGTTATGCATTAAACAAAATCGATCGATAACTTATATACATAATTGTATATCGAAATGGTAATTCAAAAACTCATTATGAATATCATGATTTCACATATAGTGCTAAAAGTACACATAATACTGATACAAAAATGCACCGTTATGCATTAAACAAAATCGATCGATACCATCATACACGAAGTATGTCAAAATGCACCTATTACTCTCAATGCACATACAATGGGCTTTTAAGTCAATTTCACAGATTTAAACATTTATTTATGCAATATCGATAACCATTGAACAAATTTAACGTTCATCTATTCCTTTTAGAGCAGTTCATACTCTAAAATTTATTCGTAATATCATTTCCATACATATTATGAAAACATATCAAAGTACTATAAAACATACTTTATCAAAACATTAGAGGTTGACTCATCGTAAGTCTCCCTCATTTCATAGAAGTATAATAAATGCACTCACCTGATATGCCTCACTAGTATGCTGTAATGATGTGTGACTATTCGACAACTTTATCCTTGCCCTTTTTCTTGCTTGACTCTGGAGCTTGGTTACGATCTATACAAGCATTCATTAATTACACATACCATACAAATGTTCATATACTTTCTAACATTTATACTTTTAATAATGCTCAATAGTACTATTATTTTCAATTTCTATTAAAATTCATCATATCTTAAAATTACAGGCTCAATAGTATCGGTGCTCCTACTATGGTATCGATACTTCTATACTATGGTACAGATACTCACTTCAGTATTGATACCATTTATGCATTATGGAATCCATAGTATCGATACCCACAACTATATCGATACTAATTGCATCAGCATCAATATTGTTCATCCTATTTCCTCAAATTTAAACCTATAGTATCGGTACTGTTCTTCCAGTACCGATACTCTTACCCAGATTTTCCATTTTTCATTTCCATTTTACCCAAATTTCATTTAAATCTTACTTTTACCCCCAACAATACCATTTAACTCATCCTTACTAAACCCAACTAACTTTCCTTCATTAATCTTCCTATAACATCTAAAATCTTCAAAGAACACTCCAACTCAAGAATTACACTTCTTTTTCATACATGTTTTTAATCACATGCAATGCTTCTAATCTCTTATTTACTTCTTTGACAAGTCAAATTTACTTATAAACTTTAATAAAAACTCATATTTCATCATATCACTCAAAAACCCATTTTCTTAAATCTCAAATAATTCACTAATATTTTAGTTTTAATCATCCTTTGACTTTACTTAAGCTTCTATATCACTTAAGGTTTAAAAATTAACCCATAAATTAAAGGAAAAATCAACTTGAAGAAATCTTACCTTTAGACTATGGGAAGAATATGGGACGAGAAAAATGAAAAGAAAAAGATAACTTGGCTTATCAATCTTCCCCTATTTAACTCTTAAATATCCCCATAAAAATAAATATTAAATTCATTCATTCTAAAAGATTAAATTGTCCTTCCATTCTCCCATTCTTAAAAATTAGTCTTAAAGACAATTTTCCCAATTCATTTCTCGTATTTTACCATTTATTCAATTTAATCATTCAAAATTTAAATCTTTTCAATATAATCACTGACCCAATGTTTTGGGTATTACAAACACTTACACCCAATGGCCTTTCTATCTGGAGGTAACTCAACCAAATCCTAGGTATTATTAGCAATTATAGCAACAAAGTTCGAATGAACAACTTTACTCCACTGTTTATCTTGCAATGCACTCTTCATATTTAAAGGATTATCAATAACAGAAATTTGATAAACTTCGGTCTTATTCATCCCTGTCTTACTTCTCGTGACCATGGAGTTCTTATTGGTTACTGGCACACCATTGGACACCATCGGATCAGCAGCTTCCACATCCTTCTACACCACCCACGAGAAAGACCCCTGTTGCTCCTCGATCACAACCCTACTGTCATTATGTGAACTCTGCACCAATTGCTCATTAGAATATGCAATACAAGAAAAAACAGCGGTATCATTAGCTTTAAGAGTAGCAGTGTCACAAACGGATTCATTGACACAATCAACTGCAGCAGGTGACGACACACACTGTTGAGGTGCACCTCTATTCTGGTTGTCAGGACAAGACACAACTCGAACAGGGAAAGGCATAAAACCAGTAGATGATGCCTTGCCTTTTATTGTACAAACAATATCCCCTGCACATTTCTTATCAAAAGGAAAACATTGTTCATTAAAGCAAACATTGCATGAAATATAAACACGCCCAGTACTGTCAAGAGATTGGTAACCTCAATGCCAAGGAGATTACTTAAGAAACACACATGGTTTAGACCAAAACTCAAACTTATGTTTGTTCAATGACCGAAAGCAAGGATAGCACTGACTCCTAAATACAAGAAGCAAACGATAGTCAGGCTCTTTCCCATATAATTTTTGAAAAGGCAAAATACCCCAAAGAACAATCGTAGGTAACCTGTTGATCAAGATAATAGCCGTGAGAACAACATAAGACTAAATTGGAACCGACGATTCTGCAAGCAATGTCAAGACCTTATTTATTATATAACGATGCTTGCATTCAACAACGCTATTATATTGCAACATAAGAGGGAAAGACAATCGACGTTGAATACCCGAGGCTGCCAAATTGTTAGCTATCGCCTAAAACTCTCTTCCACCATCAGTCTGAAGAGATGAAATATTATACTGAAATTGATTTTTAACAATTGCATGAAACATAGTAAATGCATGCGAAACATCCGATTTAGTTCTCAACAAGTATACCCAACAATTTTTGTACATATTGACAAATGACACATAATATTGCCAGCCATTAGACTTAATAGGGGCATCACCCCACACATAAGCTTCAACAAGTTCAAATGGATGACTATACACAGTGGGTGACATATGAAATGGTTGTCTATGACTTTTTCCTAATTGACATGCACTACAAACGTCAGACACATCAAGAGGAATTTTATTGAACAAGTATTGCATAACAGTGCAAGAAGGATGGCTAAGACTCCTATGCCACAACCACTAACTATTGACATATTTATCACATGATGTAGGAGATGATGCAGAAGGTGATACGGTTGATGTAACAGTAAGTTGATTAAGCGAGCCACAAGGATCAGAGACATAAGAAAATCAATACAAACAATCAATCACTTTACCTTACAGCTAGACCTTACAAGTTTCTTTATCCTTCACAAAACATTTATTAGAATGAAACTTTAAAAACACATTATTATCCAGAGTGAATACAGAGACAAACAACAAATTTCTCGTAATTTGAGGAATAAAAAGCACATTATCAAGCTTTAAAGAACATGAATTAGCTAGTAACACAGTGTTTTCCAACATGAGAAATATCTAAAATGGGTCCATCACCAAGATCCACCTTACTTGCACCCGTGTATTGACAACATGAAGAAGTAACCAGCCGTTCAAAGGTGACATGATGAGTTGCACCTGAGTCTGGAAACCAATTACCATTAATCGAACTACACCCTTTGTAATGAGAGAGTTAATTTGGGCATTATTATCACTAGCCACTTCATTAGACCCAACAGTACCTACAGATGGACTCACAAAAAATGATTGTAACACACATCAGAAGAATCAAACTTGTATTTGCAAACATTGACTTAAACTTCACTATTGGAACGAGGTCGTTGTGACCCAACTCCTTTGAAATCCTGATAAAATCTGTGCCAACATCTTTCAAAGAGATGCCCAAGTTTCCCACATAATTGACACTGATGTTTGGGACGACCCTTGAACTTACCACATGTCAGATCCTTAGTGCGCTTGTGGCCAGAACGAACCTCAGGGTAACGACGATCAACATTTCCTCGATCATGATTCCTTCTCAAATTATCATCACGATGATGACGAGCCAAATTGATACAAATTGACATCCTCAGAGGATAACGAATGTGAGACTCTGCATCAATGATCACAAAAGTTACAATATCAAAGGTATACAATTCACGACTCACCGTAATCGTAGCAACAAATGGTTTAAACTAAGGCGGAAGGTCATTTAACAGTGTAACAATCTGCTCAACTTCTGAGATCGGACTTCCAATTGTGGCAAGCAGATCACAGATCTCTTTGTTCTTCGTAAAGTACTCACGAATCGTTTGCTCTCCCTTCTTGAGCGATCGAAGCCAACAATGGAGGTTCATAAACTTTGTTGTTGTTAGCTTAGAATACATCTTCAAAACAAAACTCCATATGGCTGTTGAAGTCTCTGACCCAATCAATTGAGGAAGAATCGAAGGGCTAACGATTGATTAAAGCCAGGAGGTATGAGAACTGTCTTGCTTCTTATGAACACGAAAATCCTGATTTATAATTAACTTACCATTTTCATCAATCATCGTCTGAGGAGGGATCAGAGCAGACTCGTCCAACAGATATTTGATCTCATGACCACAAATCATGAGAATCACCTGTTGTTTCCATAGCAAAAAAATTATTATCATCAAGCCTCACATTTACATACTTATTAGCAAAAGAAGACTCCATAGACCAATTATTGACTGATGAACCACTCGCGCTTGATCGATAGCCACTAAAGAACTGGCCACAGAAATAACCTTGAACAATTTCTTGATTACCCACATGTAATCAACATTTTTATCTCCAGCTCAACCCCTCTCCTCACCAGCTGTCTCTCCACGTTTCAGCAACTCTCCAGCAGCTTCCACCAACCCAGCTGGTTCCACGCTCCTCACAGCAGCTACCAGTACCCCAGCTCCACTCATGGCCTCTAGCAGCTCCATGTCGCCGGCAGCTTTACCCGTGGACTCCCTTGTTTCACGTCCCAACAACAACAGCTGATCCTCTATCCAATAGCTTCCCAGGTCCATCACAAAAAAAAAAAAAAAGTTTAAAAATTGGTTTTTTCATCTTACATGTAAAATGGGGTTATAAAAATCCAAGAACAATATGTAATTTTGGATCCCATCCAGCAGCAATACACAGAGAGGATTGGAAATGAAAAACACAACAAAGGTTCTCTTCCATTTTGTTTTCGTTTATTTTTTCAACTTAGCATTTTATTATTTTTTATTTTTTCAAAATCAAACAACATATTAATAAAAAAACAGAAAAGATAGGAAGTACTTACATATCGACCATTTAGGTTCCTTCTTCAGAGTATGTGTCGTTAGAGTGCTTAGGTCCTTAACCTTTTTACAGGTTGGTGAGGGGGTGCTCCTCACGAGTAAGAGCTTGAAGGAGAGAGTTTTAGTATTTTAAAACCCCCAAATCGGGGTTCCAAGTTCGAATTGGGAGGGATTTCGGTTTGTTTAGGCCGAGATTGGTCTAAGTTTAAGAGTTTTGACCATCACCGACGATGGTCAGAAGAATAGATGGCCATCAATTTACATTGGCCTGCGGCTAGGTGTTGAATGGCTCTCGGCTGAGCAAAATGGGGTGAGTTTTGTTTCTCTCGGTTGAGAGAAAAGAAGAAGAAAAAGTGGATAGGTTAGCTAAACAAGAAAAGAAAATATATTTATATATATATACTATGTTTTGAGTAAATTACGGTTAGGTCCTTATAGTTTACCTATATTTTAATATTTTAGTCACTAATTTTAGGGTTACATCACGTCGAAGTCCCCCTATATTTACCATGTTTTTGTGTTATGGTCACTGGGGTGTTTCAATTTTTTTTGGGATAAATCACGCTAAGATCCCTATACTTTTAGCATGTTTTGCATTTAAGTCATTATTTCATGGGTTAATCACACATAAGTCCTCCTAATTTAGACACATTTTTACAACTTGGTCATTGATCTCCTTTTTATATTTTTATTTTTATTTTTTCATGCTAATTTATATTTTGTTTCATTTTAGTCATTAATTAATTATTTTTTTATTTTATTTATGAATATGATGTTATAGTTTTAATTTTTACATTTTGGTCACTATTTAATTTCAATTTGGTTAATTTTTTATTTTTGTCCTTTAGTTTTAGTACTTTAAATTTATTTTTAGTACTTTAAATTTAGCCCTTTAATTATTGCTCTTTATTTTTTGTTTATTTTATTTTAGTCCTATTAACATAAATGAAAGCCTCATAATAAGCATAAATCAGTCGATTTCATAATTGGATTAAAGGTAGTTTTTATTTATTTTAAAAATATTAAGAAAAGATTATCTTAAAGTAACTAGATGTCCTATTATGATGTTTTAAAATAAATAAATAAATAAATAAACACCCTACTAGAAAACCCTAAGGAAAAAACTTGCTTAAAATTAATTAAGATTAAAGGGAAAAGGAAATGTTCCTTTATTTAAAACTTGTCAAGATAATCCGTCTAATTTTTATTAGGGATTTGGTCTTGATCTTTTTAAATAATTGAACATTCTTTATCTTTTCTAATTAAATATAATTGGCTTAATTTCTTTATTTTGGTCGAATCAAATTATTTTAATATTTAGTTCTTGGGGAAAATATTATATTCTTTACATTTCAGTTGGAAAGAGAAATATTCGTCCTAAAGTATTTTAGGGAATATTTTCTCTTCAATTAGAAATATTGGAATATTTTCTATTTCTTATTATAATTTTATGTTACATAAAAATTATGCGATTTAATTTGAAATAATAGGATCGTAACTTAAATTTATATTTGAATTCTTAGATTTCCACTACTAGAGACAATTTATAATTGATGGGGTACCAATTTTGGGCATTGTGGGGGTACTTATCCTTCCACATGTGTAATCGACCCCGAACTCCTTTTTATTATTAAAAAAGAATGAATTTCTGGTTACACATAGACTGATTTATCTTTTAAAATGATGTTTTCTTAAAAAGTATTTTAAAAAGATTGTTCTTAGGTATTCGACCTACCAAACCCAAAAAGGTTTATGATGACTCCCATTATTTTCCATTAAAAACTATTTTTTTATTTATTAACAAAAAAATGTCGTATCGCCAAAAATCGGTTACGACATCTTGACGACTCCACTATGGATATTGTTTGTCAAACCATAAATCGATTATATATTATCTCAATAGTTGGAAATTGAGAATTCAGTTTTATTTAATTTATGATTTTTTTTATTTCTCTCAATTTTTTATTTTATATCCTTGTATACTATTGTTTGTATTTGATTGATTTTCAGATATTGAAATTTTGGATTCGTTTTAGCTCAATTCTAGTGTGGTTGTTTGTCAAAGTTTGACAATTTCTCCTCACACACGACACTTGCATTGCATAACATACACTATATACTCGAGCTCTTTCCCTTTTAAGTGGGAGTGAAAGTGACGTCTCCGTGAGAATTTATTCTCTGTGTCAGACCTAGCAAGTAGCTTCCAGAGTTCATATGCCCTATGTCTTTGTGAGGATTTATTATATGTGTCATGCATAGGGAAATGTGGCCTCTCGAATTCAACTCGATCCATTTAAGCCTATAATGGGTGAGGGCTGAGAGTCTGGCTCGCCCAAGGGGGGCACTGGCAAAGACAATTCGAGTACGTTTACTCCTAGAACCGAAACTTTGCATATAATAAACTGTAGAAACCCAGCCGATCCAAGACCATGCCGAAAACCTGTCCATAGGTACCCAAATAAGTATACACAAAGGAGAAATGAACTCTAACCTTCGTCTTTTAATTTATTCAATAGATTATTTTTGAATAAATGCATGTGAACTAGAAATATGTGGTTAAGGGTTTTTATCTCCTCTGTGTGTTTCTTTCATTGTATTCATTGTATTTTTTGGTTAACTTTTACCAGTTGAATTTAATCTTTTCATATTTCACTAACTATATTTCCTCTCTTTGATTATTATTTTTGCTAACATCTTTTCCTTGTCATATTACTTTATTTTGTGCATAAACATGTTTTTAATACCCGAGTTATTTATCAAAATCAGAAGGCTTTTAAAATGAAAATACCACACAAAGGGGTAGATATTTTTTATCTGTTTTGACATATTGGGATGTTGTGAGTTATTTGAAAGTTGTTATAGGATAATTACCTTGGAATTAACACATGTTTCATACATATCATGTCATAGAAGGTATTGATTCCAGAGTTAATAGTCGCATTAAAAGGCTTTTAATATCACGATGTCACTCGAAGAGGTATAATAAAACTGAGAAAACACATCAGAATTCTATAGCAGGGCACTTTAGGAAGCAACTAAGAAAAGAACGTCAAGTCAAAATATGATCAGAGGCCCCTCCAAGAAGAAATTTCATAAAAGAAGTTCCAAGAAATTGAAGCATTGAAGTCATGAATCAAGATAGAGACGGAAGAAGAATGTCATCTGACATGATCAATTGAGGAAGTTAAAAGATCAAACGATTCGTAGTTTCTGTTTGCCTCGGTGTATTGAGGCATTGTGTGTTCTTTAAAAGTTATTTTAGGATAATTATTTCATAATCAGTATGTAATACCCCAAATATCAGGTCATGGACTTTATTAAAAATATTTAAGAATTTGAGGATTTATTTGAAATAAGACAAAAGAATGAGAAAATGATTTGGAATAGTGTTTTAGACTAAATTATAACAATAGATTATTAAAGAGGACATTTTGGTCCTTTTAAAGGGGAAATGAATTTAAAATTCAATTTTAATAAGGTATTAAAGTAAAGGAAAAATGGGAAAGTAAGTTAAGCAAAAGCCATCCATTTTCTTATTCTTTACTGTGGAAGAGCTCTCCTCCATAGCCAAAGGTAAGGTTTCATTTGGCTAGTTTTTCCTTTCAATTTTGGTTGGTTTTTGAATCATGGAGTAATATAGAGGGTTAAGGAAGAGTTAAACAAGATTAAAACTAAGAGATGGATGAAATATTTGAGATTTAGGAAAATGGGTTTCTGAATGATTTATTCAGATATGAGTTTTTATTGATGTTAACTAGTATATTTGACTTGTTAATGAAGAAAATAAGGGATTAGAAGCATTAGATGGGTTTAAAAACTTGTTAAAAAAAGTGGTATGATTCTTGGATTGAAGTGTTCCTTAGAGATTATAGATGTTATAAATAGCTAAATGAAGGAAATTTAGTTGGAATAAGTAAAGAAGAGTTTGATAGTATTTTCGAATGTAAAAATAAGAGAAATTGGCCAAATGTGGGTAAATATCGGGATGAAAATGGAAAATCTAGGTAAGGATATCAGTACTTGAAGAACAGTATCGATACTATAAGCTTAAATTGGAAGAAAGAAGTTGAACAATGTCGATATTGATACAATTAGTATCGATACCATGAGGAATGTATCGATACCATTGATTTACATAATACAAAAATGGTATCGGTACCATAGTATAAAAGTATCGGTACTAAGAGATAGATACCGATACCATATATTCAGAATGTAGAAATGGTATTGATACTGAAAGGGAGTATCGGTACCGCATTATAGAAGTATCGATACCATGGTAGGGATATCGATACTATTTGAACTATAAATTTTAACATAGGCTGATATTGTTATAGAAAATTTAATAATAGTATTTGTGAGTATTGTTTAAGTATAAATATTAGGGAATATACTAACATATGATATTGTGCATGTCTTCGATGGTTGCTTGAGTAGATCGAAATCAAACTCCTGAGTCAAGCAAAACGAAAGGCAAAGGTAAAGTAGCTAAGTAATCAGATTTGCATTTTGCATATAATAGCGAGGCAAACCAGGTGAGTGCATTTATTATGTACATATATGTGATGATTGTCATAGATGCATGTTGCTTAATAAGTTTATAAATTTTTGTTTGGGTATTGTTTGTGCAAAACTAAGAAATTCATAATAAGTTTATGAATTTCCGTATAGGCACTATGTGTGAAAAACTAAGAAATTCATAATAAGTTTATGAATTTCTGTATGGGCACTGTGTGTGCAAAACTAAGATATTCATAATAAGTTTATGATTTTCGTATGGGCTCTGTGTGTGGAAAACTAAGAAATTCATAATAAGTTTATGAATTTTTGTATTGGTAGTGTGTGTGCAACTCACGTAAATTATAGTAAGTTGGGAAATTATTGTATTGGCACTATAGGTGTAAACTATAGAGTGTATAATGAAATGAAAGAGTTAATGGATATTAGAATTTTCATGATATACTTGTGGTTAGAATTTTCCTTATGGTTATATATGCCTCACTAAGAAATTTCATAGCGTGTGTTAATTTCATGCGTAGGTATTAATACAAGCGACGTAGGGAGATAATCTAACTTCATAAAGCAAAGGGTCGCCTCATTAGTAATTGTACGACATCCATGTCTACTTTTGATGTATTTAGTTGGCATGTAATAGACTTAGTAAAAACGCTATAAAAAGTATATGATTTACTATGATGTAAAAAAATGAAATGTTTGAATATTACTTTTTGTTTTACCTACGTAAGTTGAATAAATGTTTTATTGTCACTAAATTAAAATGTTTTATAAAAAGAAACGAATTCTTATAGATATTCAAACAAGGAAATATTTTTAAAATGATGTGACATTT